TGTGATAAGATGGTCTCTTTGGTACGCCCCCTCCTCCATTAAGGAAGAGGGCCGGCAATGGAGGAGGGGACGTACCAAAGAGACCATCTTATCACAAGCAGAACTGGTTTGTTCCACTTTGGAGTAAGCTGTTGGGGGAAGAATCAGTTTTGTTGTGCGTTTCCTTGACTGATGAAGCCTTCTGGATCGAAGGTGAAACGTTTCAGCACAAAAAAAAAAAGAAACTGTCCAGATGACCTGACTGAAAAATGTTGGATTGTATACCTGGATTATTGAGCATGGACTTTGTTGTTTTCAATAGTGGAATATCATTAATACAGCTTTTCAGCTTTGTACACTGACCAGTTTAGGACTTTAGCTGACGTACTGAATCTAATCAGTTTGATAAGTTGTTAAAATTATCTTCACCTCTGTGGTCCCACATACAATAATGATAAATGAACTGTACTTATCTAGCGCCTTAGCGCCTTTCTATCTCATCAAGATACTCAAAGTGCTTTGCACTACAACCTGTGTTCTCATTTACCCATTCATGCAGCACTACTATATCTGTACAGAGAATAATCAGTGCTTTATCACATTCATACACTGATGGGACACATATCGGAGGCAATGAGGAGTTCAGTGTCTTGCTCAAGGACACTTCGGTATGTGACCGCTGGTAGAATCGAACCCCCAACTCTTGCACTGGAGGATGACTGCTCTAACCGCTGCCCAGTAAGCAGCCATAAACAACTTGCAGGATCCAAACTTAGATTTCACAGAAACCCTCAAATAAAAGGGAACTGCAGAACTATTTTCTAGCCCTTTGGGCTCCTCCATGTGCTCTACTCAATAAACATCGTCATTTATTATACAAAACTTTCATTTTTCAGTCATGCACAGATACAGCTAGAGTTGAGCCAAATGACTGATTTACAGAAAATCTAATCAATGATGGATTTCTAGATGTCGTTTTCCATCACATCACTGCTGCCCCAGACTAAAGAAAATATCAAACACTTTCTTTGTAAAGAATACAATTAAGCTATACAAAATAAGAAAAATATAAGAATGACTGTGTCTGTTTTGAACAAGCAATAAGAAAAATATCAAATGTAAAAATTTGCTGTAATATTTTTGCACCTATTTTGTAGGAAATTATGTGACCATCTATAAAAGCTGTGTTTTAGAAATCATTCAGATTAACTTGTGCTAAATTTAGGGTTTTTCCTGACCTTTTGTGGAATCTGAGCCAGGGCTGAGGCTATCGTGTTTGCCTTCTCTGTGGTGACGTTCTTGATCATGGATCCCAAAGTGAAGATCACAATACCAGCATCTCCAGAACTCTGCACAAAGTCTTCCATTTTCTGCAACAATTTTAAAATCTCAACACAAGTGATCTGACAACAAAACATTTTCCTTCATAGCGCAACATTTTATTGGTTATTTTTCACATTTCCTGACATACAGCATTGTAATGACATGTTGATTGGCGTGTAACTATGCACGAAGGCCCACCTTTGGTAAAGGTTTAGCAGGTTTGCAGTGAATTCCACCAACAAATTTAAAGTTGGGAAGGAACGGACGAGGAAATTCAAAATCCCAGTAGGATCTCATCAACCAGATATCAGCCTTACCCATCAATTCACAACCACTGGTGGGTGTTCCTGTCACAACGAACAAGAGAAAAATACCAAAAATTCATAGAGTATGAAAAGACAGACAAGCTTTTAAATTAAGTTGGAAAAAAAAAAGTCCTAATGTGGTCTGTCAATGTTTTTTTGTAACTTTAGGATTCATGTAAAGCAGCTTACCTTTGACTTCTGAGTAAAAATGATCTATCTGGTTCCACCAAACTTTTTGTGTTGCAATGTCCTGCATGACATAAAAGAGAACGTTCCACACTCTTTCTGAGAAATTCATTTTATCTGTTAGTTTGCTCATAGCACCAGGGACAAAAGAAGGTGGAGCAGGTAGCTGACCACACAGTCTTTCCCAGTTATGAGCCAAGGAGAAACGCAAGGAGTAGACCAGAGGGATCCCCAACATGTCTGCTGTCAATTCACTACCGGGGTAGATGGGATCAGCCAGGAGCAAATCATAGTTTCCTTCCTTCAGCCTCTTCATGATGATTTCTGATTTCACCACACCTTCCAAGACTTTGAGGGAATTCCGCAAGTCGAGACTCAAGAGCTCCATATATCTCCTGTAAACCTGAAAGTAGTTCATATAATCGATCTCATACATGGAAAAGTTAATGAACTCTTCTAGAGACTCCTCTAAAGCCTCCAGTGAAATTGACACATTGAAGGGTTCGTACTGAAAGCGAGAGGGTTCACTGCTGTTCATGAACATGGACGCGCTCGGGATCAGGACCGTTACTTGGTGTCCTCTGTCCACCAACGTGTCCAGCACTGTTTTCATGTTAATCCAGTGGCTGGCCTCAGTGTACCACACTAAGATCTTTCCTCCATTTACAGTCCCTGTTACACAAAGTACCAGCAGGATGCAGACAGAGTGATGCAGCTCCATGGTGGCTGTTTGTCCACAGAAAATTCATCTGCAGCCTTTTTAAATAGGTGCACCTTAAAGATACTTATTAACTAGGCGAACTCTGACTCTGTCCTCTTTGTACTGAATGACATAACAGGAGAGCTGTTCAAGATAAAAAGTGATGGCTACAAAAGTATCATTAAATATATATTTATTTCTTCTAAATATTATCTGTAATTTACATAAAAAAACATCAAACTAAACAAAAAAAGCAATCATGAACTTTTTCCTGCTGTCGATATGGAAAGACAAAATCAGGCCAAAAGAGAGACTAGTTATATGGACTTTGACACTATTGTTAATCTTTAAAAATGACTGGTGCCAGCATTAAGTTTATTTTTTAGGTGGTTTTGATAGTAATGTGTCGGCAGTGTGGGTAGTTCTATAAACCACATAGAGACTAATGTCTTGAAAATTGGTCCGTTCGATCCGGAAAGGAAAAGCAGATTAAAAAAAATGTATGGACGGATGTACGGTACTTGTATTCTTTTATAGTAACAGTAATAATCAACATTCTTCACTCGTAATTTCTTTGTTTAGTTTTAATGTCATCTTTAGTTTATGAAGAAATAGCCGCACAACTCACAACCTCAAGTGAACTTTGAAGCAATAAAAGTTTAAGTTTGTACACAAAAATGATTAATTATTTTTGTTCAAAGAAGCATTTTGCTGACTTGACTTTTAGAGATGTTTTTATTAGTAACTTTCAGAAATCATCTAAAGTCCAAAGGCCTGTGGCTGTTCAAGAGATGGCTTTCAGGAGTCTGTTCTTGGAAGATGTACTGATGCATGCTCAATAATGCAGGCAGAAAAGGTTACGTAAGGTCCTCTGGACAGTTCAATTCAGTTTATTTATATAGTGCCAAGTCACAACAGAAGTCATCTCAGGGCACTGAACAGAAATATTCACACACACACACACACACACACACGCACGCACGCACACACACACACACACACACACACACACACACACATATATATATATATAAAACCAGGCTCAGGACAAGCGTCCATCTGCTTTGACCAGCTGGGTTTGGTAGGAACAGATACACAATGGCAGGTCAAGAATCACATGTTAAGATAGAAATAGTATCAAATGAAAAATATTTAATTTTAACAATCCATTTAAGGAAATGAGGTCAGTTTTTCCTCCAGCAGTCTAAGCTTAAGAAAGTATAACAAGCCGACTCTAATTATAGGATTTATCAAAAAGGAAAGTCTTAAGTCCAGTCTTAAAACTGGACAATGTGTCAGCCTCACAGAAAGAAACTGGAAGTTTGTTCCACAAGAGAGGAGCCTGATAATTGAAAGATCTCCCTCCCATTCAACTTCTGGAAACTCTAGGGACCAGGAGTAAGCCTGCAGTCTGAGAGCGAAGTGCTCTGTTAGGAAAATCTGGAACAATAAGATATCGAATATAAGATGGAGCTAGGTTGTTGAGAGCTTTGTAGGTTAGAAGTAAGATTTTTAATTGAATTGACACGAAGCCACTGAAGAGAAGCTAAAACTGGAGAGATGATCTCTCCTACTAACTCCAGTTAAGACTCTGGCAGCAACATTTTGGATTAACTGGAGACTTTTTAAAGAAGTATTTGGACACCCAGATAACAAACTATTGCAATAGTCCAATCTAGACATGACAAATGCATGAACCAGTTTTTCTGCATAATTTTCAGATAAGATATTTCTAATTTTAGTGATATTCGGCACAGATTGGACATATATTGTTTGTTGAAACGTTTCGTCTTTTATCCCAAAGACTTCTTCAGTCCAAGTCTTTTGGATAAAAGACGAAACGTTTCAACAAACAAGAATTCGCCCAGAGGACCTGACTTAATAACTTGTTGGGTTCTTGGAAGATGTTAATTCTGATAGTTTGGATGACTTAGTTTTGGTAGTTCATCTTCTTTCGCCAGTTCAAAAACCAACCGAGTGAGTGTGCGTGCATGATTTTCTGTCTCATAAGTCTCATGCTGGTACTGCAGTGGACTGGCGACCTGTCCAGAATGTACCCCACTTAGCACCGGTTAACTGCTGAAGATAGAAATCGGCTCCTGTCTGACCCTGAACAAAATAAAGCTGGTATGGAAAAGGGATGAATGGATTTAAAAAAGTATTTTGTTTTAATTCCATGTTTATTATCTTTACAGTCAGAAGATTGTCTTTATGATGAAGAAAAGATCTCTGATTGGACTAGATTACAGTTCTGTTGGAAAATTAAAAAAATAAAATGGTTACAATGTTGGTGATCATATTGTTGCATTTTATATTTTTAATATATAACTTTCATAAGCATCGATTTAAAAAAGATGCAAAAAAAAAAATCACAATCGTTGTAAACAGTTGAAGGTATTTCTTGCAAGAGAATAAAAACTGGATTATCCACATAAATAAAAGTAAACTTCAAGATGGAGACACTTTCTGTTTCATGTAATATTTTATTTAGTCATTAGCAGCCTGTGGTAAATCTGAGTGCAGTCTCTCATTCAGCTTTGCTCTTCGTCTTTTTTCTGCTGCAGCATCTCTGGAAACAGAAACTGCAGGTCTTGATGAAGATGAACATGAGAAGTAAAACTGTAATGAGGAGGAAGCTCAGGACATCCAGGCTGTGGTACTGGTACCAGGTGAGCTCGTGGGCCTGGACTCTCAAGTGTTTCGCTCCTTTGTTTCTCATGGTGTACTCGATCCAGAAAATTGTCTCATCCAGAGGACTCATGGGTCTGTCGTGGTGGATTCTGGACAGTCGCGTCATGTTTTCTTTGTAGCTGTGAATAAAAATAAAAAAAAATTATTGAAGTTATCTAAAATATAAAGTAATAAATTGTACTTTTTATGAGTAAAATTTTAGAATCACAGTATGTGGGAGATACCATGGGGATATTCATGTTTTTGTGTTGTAAAGTTTTAACATTTATTTGAAAGGATTTTTTATTATTTTTCCCTAGTTGACACTGGTTATGCTCTTAGTTAAAGAATAATCCCCCCATTAAAGTGATGGATGTGCCAGGATGGAATTAAGTTCCCACGTGTTTTGAAAACACAAAAAGTTGCAGGAATTTCTAGCTCTATAGACTCCTCTGAATGTTCATTAGTTGCTCCTATCGATATTGCACTAATTGATGAGAAACAGACCAAAGTGGTGCGTGCACATACAACGTGTAACATGCTCGGCCAGAGTACCTGTCGTAGGCAGCCAGCTATCCACTTTGGTCTTTGACATACTTGACAAAGTTGACCCGAAAAGTGAATTCTGTAGTCTTTTTTTTTTTTTTTTACTGCTTTGACCATGCTGATCTTTGTAATGATTTGATTAAGAGCACAAAGAAAATGTTCCAGTAGTTTTAAACTTAAATGCAGACTGTGCAGATGAGGAACTTACGATTTGTTGTTGATGACGGTGTTGATTGCATCTCTGAGGTCCTCAACGGTCATGAAGTTTAAGCTCACAACAGCTGCAGCTCCTTTGGCCTTCATATGTGCCATGTTGTCTGGCTGGTCAGCAAACGTTGGAATTCCCACCATGGGAACGCCGTGGTAGATGGCCTCAAAAACCCCATTTGCACCACCATGAGTGATAAAAGCTCTCGTTTTCGCGTGACCTGATATTAAATGTTTGTAATTAGTTTTTTAAATGGATAAAGCTGAGCAAGCTAAACAAAACATTTGATGAATATAAGTTTATTTTTTTCAATTAAGAGCACATTTACTTATTGAAACAGTCATTCTAGAAACTCTGTTCAACTATAATAGAAGTTTCTAGTAATAAAAAGCAGATCAGCAATAAAAAAAAAAAAAAAAAAAACTTTCCTGGTATTTAGCCTTCCATCTATATTTAATTTCTGGTCGATGCTTTAACTTAACTCACCCAGCAGATCATTCTGTGGAATCCACTCGTACAGTTTTGTGTTGAAACCTAAAGTTTCTGGTTTCTTCCCACTGTATCGCCACAACACCTTCAAACAGTCAAAAAGTAATGACAGGTCTGTAATTAAATCATAAAGTGGTGAAAAATAAATAAAATTGTAATTGGAGGTGTCATTTTAATGATTTAGCAATGCAGTTTTATTTATTTATTTAACTAAAACAATGTGTAAAAGTCTTCTGAAATCAAATATGGAGGTCAGACATCTATATTTTAAAGTTGACTAAAACCTTGCACTAATCTACAGAATATCCATAAAATTTGACTTTAAAAAGATTTCTGTTGATTTAAGCTGCGGTTTGGCTTTTTCCCGACCTTTTGTGGAATCTGAGCAAGAGCTGAAGCGATCATGTTTGTCTTCTCTGTGGTCATGTTTTTGACCATGGATCCTAAAGAGAGGATCACTATGCCTTCCTCTCCAGAGCTTTGAACAAATTCTTCCATGTCCTGCAAGAACAAAATGTTTTTTTTACATCACTGAGCCAGCTGATTGTTTCTTCTTTGCTTAGTCTTTTTTTTTAAATTTACTTTGTTTTTTATGAGAGGAATGATCTGAGAATGAAATAACAGTAGCAAAGAAAACTCCACCTTTGGTAAAGGTTTAGCAGGTCTGCAGTGAACCCCACCAACATATTTAAAGTTGGGAAGGAATGGATGAGCAAAATCAAAATCCCAGTAAGATCTCATCAGCCAGATATCTGCATTTCCCATCATCTTACAGGCTCTGGTGGGGGTTCCTGACACAATGGCAGAAACAAATTTTAAACAAACATTGGATTTAAATTGATCTACAAGGTGTTTCTTGCACAGGGATTTGTGTTGAATTTCTCACCTCTGACTTCAGAATAATATTTATCTACATATTTCCACACAGAGTAATCTAACACAATGTCCTGCAGGGCATAGAAGAGAAAGTTAAACACTCTCTCTGAGAAATCCATCTTGTCGGTCAGTTTGCTCACACAAGCTGGGACATATGAAGGTGGAGCAGGTAGCTGACCACACAGTCTTTCCCAGTTATGAGCAATGGAAAAACGCAAAGAAAAGACCAGAGGGATCCCCAAAATAACTGCAGTTAAATCGCTGCCAGGGAAGATGGGATCAGCCAGGAGCAAATCATAGTTTCCTTCCTTCAGTTTCTTCATCATGGTTTCTGATTTTATTATGCCGTCCAAAAACATGAGAGCAAAATTTGTGTTGGTTGTGAGTAAATCACTTATTCTGCTGTGAATCTGAAAGATGTTCATGTAGTCCATTTCATAAATAGAGAAGTGAAGGAACTCTTCAATAAACTGTTCTAAAACCTCTAAGGAGACGGAGACGTTGAAAGGTTCATACTGAAAGCGAGAGGGTTCACTGCTGTTCATGAACAATGATGTGCTCGGGACCAGGACGGTCACTTGGTGTCCTCTGTCCACCAGCGCCTCCAACACCGTCTTCATGTTAATCCAGTGGCTGGCCTCAGTGTACCACACTAAGATCTTTCCTCCATTTGCAGTCCCTGTTACACAAAGAACCAGCAGAACACAGACGGAGAGACGCGGCTCCATGGTGGCTACTGATCTGCAGAAAATTCATCTGCAGCTTTTTAAATCGCTGCACCTTAAAGATACTTATTAACTAGGTGAACTCTGTCCTCTTTGTACTGAATGATGTAACAGGAGAGCTGTTAGAGAGATAAAAGGTAACTGCATATGTCAAAAAGACCAATTTAACAATAAATAAACCCTTAAACTAGGGGTGCACTGATCACCGATTTTTAAAAAGTCTGAGCTGCCGATTCCAATTTTGTCCGATACCGATTTTGTGTCAGGTCACAATGCACCTTCAATTTTCCAATCTTATTTTATTGAAAAGCATACATTTGAACAATATCCTAGAAACAATACAAACTTGTTTTAACTGGCCATGAGGTAGTGCTCTGAAATATAAATGAAGTTTAGACATTTGTTGTTAAAACTAAAAAAAAAAAATCGGTAAAATCGGTTTCTTATGCAAGTATCGGCCGATTTCCCAAAATTAAGGAAATCGGCCGGCCGATTTATCGGTGCACCCCTACCTTAAACTAACATTATAGTGACCAGCCCCAGTTTAAGCTTAAAAAGAATGTTAGCAGGTCTGCAGTAAAGCAGCTGAGTTTAGTCTCAAAAGCAATTGTTTTGTTTTCATGTACCTCTATGAATATTTTGGAGAACCAGTAAAGAATGTTCTTTTTTTTAATCAAATTTAAACTAAAGCTTTTGTTTATAACGTCATCACATCTGATATCAGAGCTGTGCTTTAAACATAGATACACGCCTTTGTACAAGTTATAGAAATAGTTAAATTATTCCAAACTCTTTAGTTTTATTATCCATCTTGTCTTTGTTTTCTTTGAAATGAATTGCTTGTACAGCCAAGTGTGTATAATTTAGAAAATGAAACACATCTGTTACATTTTTAAAATGTGGATTAAAAAAAAAAGTTTGTGTTGATTTGTATTTGGATAATCCCTTATTCGATTCTCAGTAGGAAAGTTTACAAAACATTGTCTTATGGCAAATGTCATGAGCCTTTCATTAGAAATTTATAATTGAGAAATAAAATCCATATTTGCAAATTAAGTTCTTAAAACAACAACAACAGCAACAACAGAGATATGCACATGGCTAAAAGTACACAAAGTTGGAGACTCCACCGGTCCTGCATTGCGTAATTTTTTCCTTAGTCAGCCATTTTCGACAACCTTAGTTTAATTTGTTATTCATCTTTTCTCTTTGTCTTTTTTCTGCCACAGCACCCCTGGAAGCAGAAACTGCAGCTCTTGATGAAGATGAACATGAGAAGTAAAACTATAGTGAGGAAGAAGCTCAGGACATCCAGGCTGTGATACTGGTACCAGGTGAGTTTGTGGGCCTGGACTCTCAGGTGTTTTGCTCCTTTGTGTCTCATGGTGTACTCGATCCAGAAAACGGCCTCATCCTGAGGACTCAGTGGTCTGTCATGGTGGATTCTGGACAGTCGCACAGCGTTTTCTTTGTAGCTGTGAATACAAAAGTAAAAATATGTAGTTAAATGCTAAGAACATCATTTTAATTGATACAATTTTAGTTTTGTTTAGTCCCTAAGCAAATGATGTGAGAATCTGGTTTACAAATATACAGAGGAATAAGGTTGTTAATGGTTTTAAATGACAGAAGCAGGATCTTGTAAATGACATGTAACAAAAAGGACATTGTTTAATTTACCTTGGCCATTTAAACTGTAGCATTACTTTCAACCGTGTCTCTAAATACGTTTTTCAAGAAGGCAAGAAGTGTTTCAGAAAAATTTATGCAGATTTGGTGCAAATATATAGAAGAGCTTACGATTTGTTGTTGATGACGGTGTTGATTGCATCTCTGAGGTCCTCACTTGTTATGCTGTTAAAGGCAACATTAGCTGCAGCTCCTTTGACCTTCATGTGCATCATGTTGTCAGGCTGTTCAGAAAACATTGGGATTCCCACCATGGGAACTCCGTGGTAGATGGCCTCATAAACCCCGTTTGCACCACCATGAGTGATAAAAGCTCTGGCTTTAGGGTGACCTGATGTGAGCAAAAGGTGGTAAACATTTATGATTTGTTTTACAAACAAATATGGTTGAGCAAGATTAAAAATAAATAAATAAAAGAAATGTATCTTGTAAATGTTACTACTTAAGTTGGTTAATGTAAGTCACAAGGGGTAATGAAACTACAGTTAATCATTTATTAAATTCAAATAGTTTTGTGTTTTCAACTGTTTTTCATAAAGGCATATGCTGTTGAGGTAAGAAAAATAAAATTGAATAGTATTTTATACACTATCAAAAGTTGTTTTGTGAATCAGAGAGTTTTCCCTTGAAGTGAAATGTCCCGTGTCTGGGCCCAAGGAAAAGAAGAGCTTAGGGAGAAGGGTGTTAGCCTTGTTCTCGTTTGGAATCAGTTTATTTCACAGCCAGCCATCTGCCCAATCAAATGTTGTCTTCTTTCTTTTCTGTTGCCTTTCAGTATTGTTCATTGTTGTTCTTAGTTTCCAGAGTCAAAATTTTAAGAAATGAAAGGCGTGTAATTCTAGGAGTCATCAGCCTCAGTTGTGTTTTCTCTAATGGAATCACCCTTGAGGTATGTTATAACGGATAACACAATGCTGACATGCTTAAACTGTTCATTTTGTAATGATACAAAAAAATATATACATATGAAATAATCAAAAAGAAGCAGAATACACAACTAGTATTTTTTACTATGCAATATTCTTCTTTAAAGCCATTCTCTGTAAAAATCAGGGCTAGTGTTCAGTCGTTCACTCCACAGTGGTGTTTCTTCTGCGACACCTACAGAGGAGTGGCGTGCTCTTTTCACATCTTGACAAATTCGATGACGGCCATGGCCACCAATAGAAGTAGCTATCAGTGCCTCATATACTAGTCCATCACCATTTCTGTGAAAAATTTTAGTGGACAGATGTTTCATTGAGACATTGTCACAGCTAAGATACTTTTTCCTCGGTGCAGATTTTCAGGTTGCATTTGGTTGCTGGTGGACATCAAGAACTGACATTTGGTTTATACTGTCACTCACTGCTTTCTTAAGTGCACCATCTTCAGTCCTGCGTCTATCATTTTTGCTACAAATGCTTTTCATCAACTAGCCATGTTTTCAATCCTCAGCCCATTTTCTTATCCATCTTGAGAAAAGGACAATACATGATCCCAACGGACCCACCTGTTAATGTTTGTGCTCGTTTTCTTTTCCTGCCAGGTTTTACGTTGCAAGATGCAATTTTGACAAAAGGAAGCGCCTTGGGCTCATTTGTAATTTCAACTGCCCAATGTGCCTCATCCCTAGATCTTGTTTCAGAGTCCGTTGGCTCTTGTATGGCAGCTACTGTCATTTTATTGATGCCACAACACTAAAGCACAGAGGAGCAGCAACTTTGTCTCACATATCCAAGACTTTCCAGCCTGTCTGCCCAGAAATGTTCTCTTTTCTAATATGAACCTTATCATTAACTGCCCTTTTACCCATAACATGTTCTCAATGGTAGTGATTGACCAGTTTGGACTGTAGGTCTTGAGAATACAACCAGAGATGTTCTAGCACCTGATGAACTCAATGTTATGGGACATGCTATTGATATTTTTATAAATATATCTTTTTGGACTACCTGCCAGAGATACTTGTACACCTCCAAGGTAGAACACCTGTTGAACTTTTGTATTCCTTTTGAACAACTTATTCAGTGACTAATCTACTCTACAAAGTGTCTACTGCTGCTGCACTGAACTATTGACTGCGCAGCTATTACATCACTTTTTGACAGAGTTATAGGTTAGAAATGAAAAACAATTGTTCTATTTCAGAAAAAGGTTTGTAGGCTCAGTCATCCAGGTAGATGACAAAAGAAGGTTCAATCATTTCATCTGGACCAGTTATGGGACAGATCTGGTTGGCAGGCCACAGACTGATGAAGTCTTCTGGATGGAAGATTAAACGTTTCTCCCTTAAAGAAACCGGTCCAGATGAAATGATTTAACCTTCTTTTTTAAATTGTCCTATTTGTTTTAAAATCTGGATCTTTATCTTTACTCACCCAGGAGGTCATTCTGTGGAATCCACTTGTAAAGTTTAGTGTTGGAACCTAAAGTATCCGGTTTCTTCCCACTGTATCTCCACAGCACCTACAAACAAGGGTTTTTCAGTTTTATGTACATTTATAAATGAATAAAATATATAATTTATGATTTAAAGTCTCATACTGAAGATTTATCAAAACTGTTTTCTCTGTTTAAACGATATGTGCAAGTCATTTTGAAATTAAATCTGGCGATTGAGGACGATCAACTCTTTAGAGTTGAATAAAACTCGACTTTTCTGCAGTGGATTAATTTGGAACCACACAAAATATATTTAGACACATTTTTTTATGTGAACAAACATGTTCATATTTTTTCTGACCTTTTGTGGAATCTGTGCAAGGGCTGAGGCGATTATGTTCGCTTTTTCTGTGGTCAGGTTTTTGAGCAAGGATCCCAAAGAGAAGATTACGATGCCTTCCTCTCCAGAACTTTGGACAAATTCCTCCATATCCTGCAACAACAAGATTTTTCCAAGTCACTGAGCCAGCCAGTTAGGTTTTTTTCTTTCATCAAGATTATGAGGATTATTCTTTACGTTTAACTCTGAAAAATTTTAAATAAGTATATGTTGAACAATTGGCGTATTGTATAAAAATAAATACAACCCCACTTTCGGTAAAGGTTTAGCAGGTCTGTCGTGGATCCCACCGACAAATATAAAATTTGGAAGGAATAGACGTGGAAAATCAAAATCCCAGTAGGTTCTCATCAGCCAGATGTCTGCCTTACCCATCAACTCACAGGCACTTGTGCAGGTTCCTGTTACAGGTGAACATAAATTAGATAACGTCTTTATAAACAGACATGAGAGGTTTCCACAAATATTCTGAAAACATTGGATTTGATTACATTCATAAAGTGTTTGGTCGGACAGGAAATCTTTTTTTTTTTCTTGCTTACCTTTGACTTCTGAGTAATATTTATCCACCTCTTTCCACATAAACTGTTTCATTATGATATCCTGAAGAGCGTAGAAGAGGAAGTTGTACACTCTCTCTGAGAAGTTCATCTTGTCTGTCAGTTTACTCAGAGCAGCTGGGACGTATGAAGGTGGAGCAGGTAGCTGACCACACAGTCTTTCCCAGTTATGAGCAACAGAAAAACGCAAAGAAAAGACCAGAGGGATCCCCAAAATGTCTGCAGTTAATTCACTTCCTGAGTATATAGGATCAACCAGGAGCAAATCATAGTTTCCTTCTTTCAGCTTCGTCATGATGGTTTCTGATTTCACAACACCATCCAAAAGTTTAAGAATAGTTTGCATGGTGTTTTTTTATTAATTGTATGTATCGGATGGAAAGCTGAACATAGTTTAAGTGCTCCTTCTTGTACATGAAAAAGTCAAAGTACTCTTCAAAATATTTTTCTATGTACTCCGCAGAAAGAGAGACGTTGAAGGGTTCATACTGAAACCGAGACGGTTCACTGCTGTTCATGAACATCGATGAACTCGGGACCAGGACGGTCACCTGGTGTCCTCTGTCCACCAGCGTCTCCAGCATTGGCTTCATGTTGATCCAGTGGCTGGCCTCAGTGTACCACACTAAGATCTTTCCTCCATTTACAGTCCCTGTTACACAAAGAACCAGCAGAATGCAGACGGAGAGACGCAGCTCCATGGTGGCTACTGGTCTGCAGAAAATCCATCTGCTGCATTTTAAAATAGGTGCACCTTAATGATACTTATTAACTAGGCGAACTCTGACTCGGTTCTCTTTGTACTGAATGACGTAACGGGAGAGCTGTTAGAGAGGTAAAAAGTAATTTTTGCAAATGTAGCCGTCAGTGTGAATAAGACAATTAGTTAACTTGTTAATTAGTTACTGGAGCTGTGCAGTATGCAATGGTGGTTAGTGATGCTGGAAATACTGGAATCTTCACAAGTTAAAAGTTTTTGCATCTTTTAAAATGACATATTAAGCCACTAAAACACAATTTTAGTTTATTACTGTATTTCCAGTGTTTTCTAAAAGGATATTTATTATTATTGGTGCTAAAATAAAATAAAAAGTCCTATTTTTCATTTTTAGGAATAAAGAACGTGTAATGAATCAAAGTCTTCAGAATTTTAAAGCCTTTAAAAAAATTTAAAATTAATTTATTCATTCATTTAAAATAAACAAAACATCAAAAAGAAAAAAAAATGAATATGAATATGCGGAAAGAAGAAAAAATATTATATCTGCCTCTTATTAAAAAAAATAAAAAATAACTACAAACAAACAACAACCTATGCTTGAACAATGTCCAAATTGAAATAAAAAAAACATCAGGCATCCTTCACCTGGCACCATACCTTCCCAACAACTTTAACTTAATCATCTTTTTAAACATAGAAATTGTTTTAGAATTTTTTATGGTAATATCAAGGCAATTCCACAATCGTATTCCAACGCAGCTCCTTCAGACTAGTTCAAAATGAAGGTTTTACAAACATTTTCATTCCCTTAAGGTTATAATGACTCTTTTTTAACAAATTTTAATTGAATATTTGCGGGCAATATTTTTTACGAGTTTTATACATGACTTGTAAAATACTATGTTCAACCAAATCATGAAATTTTAATAAATGCAACTGATGAAATAATATATTTGTTGGATGACCATAGCACTTCCTACTAATAATTCTTATAGCTCTTTTTTGTAAAATAAAAATAGGATTTGTAATTGTTTTGCATGCTTTTCCCCAAACTTCAATACAATAAATAAAAAATGGAACGATCATTACATTATACAATATATACAAAGCTTTTTCATTCAAAAACTTTTTTACTTTATACAGTAATGCAATTGATTATTTTTATTCTTAAGTAATTTACATGAGATTTCCATGTCAACTTTAAATTTGTAGTTTGTGAGCAAGTGAAGTAGAATTTTGTTTATTAAGCAGTGGAATGTGTTTTTCTTACTCAAAAGGATACGAGAGGTTTTTATCACCACTTAATATGGAAGGAAAGCTTCAACTGAAGTTAACCTATGTGCATGTGTTTACAGGAAGTGCAAGGCTTGTGTATTCCAGTGTAGAAATATGGGTTAAAATATTGGGTTTATTATAAATTATGAATTATAATTTTATTATTCATAAACTGTTTGATATTTTGGGGGTATCACTCTCTTATGACATAGAGACTATAAGTTCATCACTTATAAATGTAATCAGTCTCATTAGATCACTCTAAACCATGAGTTCATTCGCTGGATTAAATCAAACCTTCACAAATAAGCACATACACACTGGTTCCAGTTCTCACTTTTTGTGTGACATTTTATTTGAATATAGTAATGATTCTAACAATACAGCGGGAAAGGGAGTTTTGAATACTGAGCTTAGAACAGGGGTGCTCAAACTTTTTTCTTGAGAAGGCCAAAATTAAAAAGGGCTGCAGGCCAAATGCAATAATATAATACATGAAATGCAAATACTTCTTTAAGTAAAGTCTTTTTTTTATTAGTTATTTGACCTTCCTTTCTGTATAAAGAACATTACAGAATGCAAAATATTATAATATATAATAATATAGTTCTAGAATTGCGCCGCTCAAGGTGGCTGCATGTTGGAGCAGCTCTGTTACTTCCATTCTGAGACTTTGCTTTTGGAAACTTTAATTCCTCTTTTTCTGGATGTAAGTCACATTTTTTTTGTATGATTGTTTCCTCTGGTATCGTATGCTGTGCAGCTTGAAGGATTTTTACTGAAACTTTTTTTAGTTTTGGACATTTGTTATGATGCGTAACCATGGCAACAAGGCAGTTTTCTACAACCAACAGCAGCTGATTAACGTCTCAAAAGCTCAAATAATATCTCAGCTACTGCCCCAAATCTCAAATGAGTTGAAAAGGATGTTCTGTGGATTCATTCTCATCTACCCGCCAGCTGTGCTTGAGTGCCTGACCACTGAGATCCTGGAACTACCAGGAAACACGGCTCGTGACAGTGGAAGGACAGAATCGTCCCTCAGCACCTACAGATGGCTGTCCGCAGCGACGAGGAGCTCGGCAGACTGCTGGGAGGAGTGGCCATCGTGCTGGGAGGAGTTCTGCCCGGCATTTGGGCGGTCCTACAGCCTGGGGGAACTGACCAAATAACCCCTTCTCGAACCGAGAGGCCAGCCGAGTCTGGGTGGACGGATCGGACGGCATCTGCAGCCAGTTTCTTAGGATCCACTGTCGGATGGACCTTTACAAGAGATCCTTCCTGTCTACAGCCATCAGTATCTATAACATCTCTTAATGAAATGAGAATAACGAGTTACAACAAGAAAATAATTTCCCTTTGGGATTAATAAAGTATTTTTGAATTGAATTTGAATTTGAATTACAAATATGTCACATATATAGGAATTTAAAACAAATACCTCCCAGAGCAGGAAGGACTGAACCTGCAAAAAGTGATGAACATGGGGAAGTAGCTAATCAAAATAGCTGGTACCTATGGGCACTATACACATCCAAAGAAACAATGTCTAATGAATGTATACTATGCACTAAATCTCCAAGAACACTGCCAAAAGCGATTCCAGAAAAATATATCTAAAGAATGTGCAAAGGTACAACAGAAAGTGTAAAGTCAAACAGTGATACCAATATTTTCCTAACTTCCAATGTGTGATATTAAATGTAGGCTCCTTTATGGAGCACAAAAAATTCATAACTACTTAGATGAGTACCACGGATATTAAATCCAAGATCAAAGTGCTGAATTTGTAGTTGAAACAGTTCAAAATGGACCGCCAACAAGATACAAAATAGACTATAATGATGAATATGAATATGAAACAAGCGAAGGTTTCACAGACCAAGATGGCATTGATGTAGGAAACACAGCTGTTGAGTTTAAGGTAATACTTTCTTGGTTTCCACATGTTAATATGACCCCAGTGTTTGTTACACCTGTTTGTTACAAAATTCCAGAACCTCTAACCCAGACTTGCAAAAACATAGCCATGACTATTCCTACTCTTTGCTTATTCAGTGGCCAAACCCATCCTATAGCAGATTATTGGATGTGTGGAGATGATGTTTAGATGAATGTATTGCCACCAAGTTGGATTGGTTTGTATACTTCAGTGAGAATGAAAATCTTAGTGATGATGTTACACAATGGAGTGAATGAGATGATTAAACTTAAAGGCATGAATGGTAAGAATTGTAGAAATTAAAGGATTGATCCAAACTGATCAGATTTATTGTCCATCATGTTCATTATTGCTTTGTTTTGTTGTTGTACAGATTAGTTGTACAGCCAGTACCATATAATCAAATCACAAAAGAAAGCCCATTTAATCTAGTCAGATTGGTTACATGTGAAAAATGTGAAAATTTAAAATGTTGCATGTGTTAATTTAATTATTAGAATAAGCCCTTTATTTGATCCTGAGTGTGAAAATTTGTTAAACATTTTCTTGTTTAATATATGGCAAATCTCACGAGCCTGTGATCAAAGTATGAGAAAATAAATTTCCTGTTTGCAACTAAAGTCGAATAAAGAGAAAACTGGTATCCAAACATATGAATGTATACTACAAGTTGAAGACTAGCCCCATGTTATAGTATTTCATGTTTTTATCCATTCATTAGCCACCTGCAGTAAGTCCCAGCTCGGTCTTTTACTCTGCCTTTCTCTTCGTCTTTTTTCTGCCACAGCATCTCTGGAAACAGAAACTGCAGGTCTTGATGAAGATGAACATGAGAAGTAAAACTATAGTAAGGAGGAAGGTCAGGACATCCAGGCTGTGGTACTGGTACCAGGTGAGTTCATGGGCCTGGACTCTCAGGTGCTTTGCTCCTTTGTTTCTCATGGTGTACTCGATCCAGAAAACTGCCTCATCCTGAGGACTTATGGGTCTGTCGTGGTGGATTCTGGACAGTCGCATCATGTTTTCTTTGTAGCTGTGAATGTAAAAGTAGCATTGTGTAGTTATATGCTATGAACATAGTTTTAGTCAATAAAACTTTTGTTTTATTCAGTCACTATACAAACAGTGTAAGGATGTTGTTTGCATTGTCGGTGTTATAGGAGATTCTGGGACACCATAAAATGTGACACTAGGAGGCGTTGTTGTGTCTCTACACTTCAACTTGGTCTCAAAGAAGAGTAAACACCTTGTTGTTGCCCCATGTCTGTGCATGATGGGCCTAAAAAATGAAGCATATCATCACATCACAAAATAAAGTCACTAAAACCCTGTTCCTGTTTTCTGATGATGATGATTATTATTAGTAATATTATTATCCATCCATCATCTTTACCCGCTTCTTCCTTTTTTGGGTCGTGTTGGGTCACTGGTGCCCATGTCTAGCCATCACTGTGCAAGAGGCGGGGTACACCCTGAGCCGGTCTCCAGTCCATCACAGGGACACATAGAGACAAATGAGACAAACAACCATTCACACTCTCACTCTCTCACCTAGGGACAATTTAGAGTTACCAATCAGCCTAACATGCATGTTTTTGGTCTGTGGGAGGAAACCGGAGTACAGGGAGAAAACCCACACATGAACGGAGAGAACATGCAAACTCCACCTAGAAAGGCCCCCTGGCTGGGATTTGAACTGGGGAGATCAGCTCGCTAAGAGGCGGTGGCTCTACCAACTGTGCCACCGTGCTGCCATTATTATTATTACTATCATTATCATTATCATTATTATTATTATCATCATAATCATTAATAATAATATTAATAATAATAACAATGATTTGCTTTATGTTTTCATTTTGTTATTATTTTACTCTGACAGGTTGGTGAGAGTGTGAATAATTTTGTTTAATTTGTTTCTTGTGAGGCCCATGATGGATGGATGGATGGATGGATGGATGGATGGATGGATGGATGGATGGATGGATGGATGGATTGACTGATTGATTGGCTGGGCTGAAATGCATGTGGTCATATAAAATGACACTTGCAATCATGAAATATGGCCATACTGTAACTTTTAAACCTTTTTCTGGTTACTTATTTGTCCACTCTTTTATAAAATGTAACATTTGACCAGATCTGGGCTGGACATCAAAACCGTTTGTGGGTATTTTCAGTGCCTGTTATGCATTTGGCGCATTTAAAATGGAGGACCATGGGTAGAAAGCTTTGTTGTATGATAACAGAAAAAACACACACGTGTTGTATTAAAACAACACCTCGTATAGCCATTAATAATCTAATGTCTATACTGAGGTCATTACAGAGGATACATTTTAAAAATTTACTCACATATACAGTATAACTAAAAATACATTGTTTAGTTCACCTCTGACCATTTAAACTATAGCATTATTTAAACTTTCAACCATGTCTCTAAATAATTTTTTTAGGAAGGCAAGAAAGTTTCATAAACTTTAATACAAACAGTGCAAGTATGTAGAGGAACTTACGATTTTTCATTGATGACAGTGTTGATTGCATCTCTGAGGTCCTCAGTTGTTATGGATTTAAAGGCAACATTAGCTGCAGCTCCTTTGACCTTCATGTGCATCATGTTGTCAGGCTGATCAGCAAACATTGGGATTCCCACCATGGGAACACCGTGGTAGATGGCCTCATAAACCCCATTTGCACCACCATGCGTGATAAAAGCTCTGGCTTTAGGGTGACCTGATGTGAGAACATATATTAAATATTCACAATTAGTTTTACAAATGATAAAGCTGAGCAAGTTAGAAAAAAAACTATCTTAAAACTATGTAACTACTTGAGTTGCTTAATGTATTCACAAATATCAGTAATGAAACTACAATAACTTGTTTAAAATGTTGGATTGTGGACCTGGATTATTGAGCATGGACTTTGTTGAATAACTTGTTTAGTTCATAAAAAAAAAAAAATTGTGTTGGGGGGCAAAAACTCAGTTTTTCATAAAGACGTGTGTTTAAGTCAGGAAAACAAGTTTTCTTTTCAGAGACTTTTTAATTAAATTACCTGTTAATGCTTGGTCTTGTTTTATTGTCCTGCCAGGTTTGACATTGCTTGATGAGAATTTGACCAAGCGAAATGTTTTGACATTTGTAACTTTATTAGCCAATGGGCCTCGTCTGCCCAACTTGTTTTAAGTTGGCAATTCTATGGCAGTTACCATCGACTTATTGATGCTACATCACTGAACCACAGGGGAGCAGCTACACTATCCTGCATATCCAAGACCTGCCAGCCCAACTGACTAGGAGTGTTATCTTCTCTAATGTGCACATTATTTGTGGTAACCTTTAAGTGCTTGTTTCCACTCACGTTATTCTCAGATGGTAGTGATTTGTCATTTTCTCCTATTTCGGATCTGCCTAATCTGTCTTTATTGAATGGTTATGTACCTCAGAGCTTTAGGTTTTGTGAAAATAAACCTTTACTTAAGAAACCTTTTTTTGATTCATGTAGCAATGACATGTATGTTAACTCCCGTTCATTAAGAAAACAAGAGAAATTATTTGAAAATCAATTGTGTGAACATCTGGAGAGAAATAATCTGTTTGAGGAACTGCAGTTAGGGTTTAAAGTTCATCATAGCATAGAAACAGTATTGGTGAAAGTAATTAAGTATATTCTCATGGGCTCAGTGGGTGAATTTGTATCCATACTTTTTCTTTTAAATCTCAGTGCTGCATTCAGTACAGGTGATCTACTGTACAGTATATACTGTATACTTTTTATTACAGAGGCTTCAACATTATTTTTGGATTGCAGGAACAGTTCTAAAATGGGTTAACTCATAATTATCTGATAGATTTCAGTTAGTTCATGTCAATAAAATGTTTTCTTGAAACATCAGAGTTAATTCTGGAGTTCCTTAGGGCTCAGTGTTTGGACCAATACTCTTTACTTTATAAATGCTTCCCTTAAGGTATTGGGCAGCACAGGATACATTTTAATTGTTTTGCTGATGCACAGTTGTACTTATCCATGAAACCTGGTGAATCCAATCATTTAGTGAGATTAATAGCTTGTCTTACATAAAAACCTGAATGACTTAATTTTCCGCTTTTAAATTCAGACAAGACAGTTGTGGTTTTTTTGAAATACCTTCTAATAAACAAATTTTGCATCCTTTTGCTTTCTCTGGATGTCTTTAATCTAGCCTTCAGTTCTAATATCAATAACCTTGGCTTTATTTTTAATCAGGATATGTCATTTGACTCCTTCATTTAAAAATGTTACCAGGACTGCTTACTTCCACCTGAGCAATATCACTGAAATCAGAAACATCTTGTTCCAAACTGATGCAGAAAAACTGCACCATGCCTTTATCATTAATAGACTGGACTATTGTCATTCTTTTTATTATCCAGGTGTCCACAAACACTTAAAGAAATCTTTAATTGATCTAAAATGCTGCTAACAAAGTTTTGAAATGATTTAGAAGGATAGATGTTTCTCCAGTTTTAGCTTCTCTTCATTGGCTCCCTGTCAGATTCAAAATAGAATTAAAATCTTCCTTCTGACATACAAAGCCCTGAACAACCTAGCTCCATCTTACATTAAACATCTTAATTTAACAGAGTTTCCCTCTCAAACACTTGTCTCACAGACTGCAGGTTTACTTGTGGTTGCCAGTTTTCAAAAGCTGAAAAAAGACAGAAAAAGTAAACTGTCCTTCCATTCATGCTGAAATCATGGATACTTATATTTACTCACCCAGGAGGTCATTCTGTGGAATCCAGTTGTAAAGTTTTGTGTTGGAACCTAACGTGTCCGGTTTCTTCCCGCTGTATCGCCACAACACCTACAAATGGTAGAAAGGCAGTGAAGTTTTGTCACTTTTATTAACAATCATAAATAGAAAATCATTAGTTTGTAAATTCAAATGCCATACTGAAGATTTACCAAACAGTTTTCTCTATTTACCTAAGCATTTCATTCAAGTAATTTGAAATCAAATCTGAAGATTTAGAATAATTACAATTTAAGTTTGACTACAAGTCTGCACTGTTCTGAAGTGGAATATTTTTGTAACTATTTGGATATACAGTAGTTTATTCAGTGTGAACTAACATGTTTATTTTTTCCTGACCTTTTGTGGAATCTGGGCGAGGGCTGAGGCGATTATGTTCGCTTTTTCTGTGGTCAAGTTTTTGATCATAGTTCCCAAAGAGAAGATTACGATACCTTCATCTCCAGAGCTTTGGACAAATTCCTCCATATCCTGCAACACAACGTTGTTTCCAAGTCACTGAGCTAGCTAGTTGGACACTTTCTTTACCCACCATACTGATGGGTTATTCTTGGTGTTGCATCGGATAAACATTTTGCAGCATGTTGACCTTTTATTCATTGTATAATAGTGAATATAACCCTACCTTTGGTAAAGGTTTAGCAGGTTTGCCATGAATTCCACCAACAAATTTAAAATTGGGAAGAAATGGACGTGGAAAATCAAAATCCCAGTAGGTTCTCATCAGCCAGATGTCTGCCTTACCCATCAACTCACAGGCACTGGTGGGGGTTCCTGTGACAAGTGAACATGAATTAAATAACAAAGTCTTAAATAAACAGACAATGGGCGCTTCAATTATTCTGAAAACTTTAATGGACCTAATTACATTTATAAAGTGTTTGGTTAGATAGAAATTACTTTTCTGTTGCTTACCTTTGATTTCTGAGTAATATTTATCCACCTCTTTCAACAAAAACTGTTTCATTATCATATCCTGAAGAGCGTAGAAGAGGAAGTTGTACACTCTCTCTGAGAAGTTCATCTTGTCTGTCAGTTCACTTAAAGCAGCTGGGACATAGGAAGGTGGAGCAGGTAGCTGACCACACAGTCTTTCCCAGCTATGAGCAATGGAGAAACGCAAAGAAAAGACCATAGGGATCCCCAAAATGTCTGCAGTTAATTCACTGCCAGGGTATATAGGATCAGACAGGAGCAAGTCATAGTTTCCTTCTTTCAGCTTCTTCATGATGGTTTCTGATTTCACCACACCTTCCACCATTTTAATAGTACTTTGTAGGTTTGTTTGTATTATCTCTATAAACCTGATGTATACCTGAACATGGTTCAAGTGCTCCATCTCATACATGAAAAAGTGAATGAACTTTTCAATAAACTGTTCTATATCCTCTAAGGAGACGGAGACGTTGAAGGGTTCATACTGGAAGCGAGACGGTTCACTGCTGTTCATGAACATCGATGAGCTTGGGACCAGGACGGTCACCTGGTGTCCTCTGTCCACCAGCGTCTCCAGCATTGGCTTCATGTTGATCCAGTGGCTGGCCTCAGTGTACCACACTAAAATCTTTCCTCCATTTACAGTCCCTGTTACACAAAGAACCAGCAGAACGCAGATGGAGAGACGCAGCTCCATGGTGGCTGTTTGTCCACAGAAAATTCATCTGCAGCGTTTTCAGTAGGCGCACCTTAAAGATACTTATTAACTAGTTGAACTCTGACTTGGTCCTCTGTACTGAATGACACAACATAGTTTTTATGGAGGTAAAAGGTAATATCTGTAATGGTAGTTGTAAAAATACATGTGATATGAAAATTAAAACCAGTCTCAGTCTTTCTTGTTGATAGAAGATAAAGTATATCAGCTCCAGTTAGAAAATTTTAGGTTTTGGACCTTTCTTCTCTCGCTCTCGCTCTCTCTCTCTTTTGTATCTTTTGAATTTGCATACAGTATGAAGATATCTAAAACACAGTTTTGACTATTATTTTCAGTGTATGCTAACTTGTTATGGTGGCGCTTGAATGTTTGTGAATCCTTTAGAAATGTCTATATTTCTTGATAAATATGACCTCAAACATCATCACATTTTCACAAAGGTCCTAAAAGTAGATAAAAATTAGAATAGAATAGACCTTTAATGTCATTGCACCTGAGTCCACAAAATTTGTGTTTGCTTCCAAAGCAAAAGTAAAGAGAACCCAGTTAAACAAATGAGACAAAAATATTATTATTTGTCTAAAACAGTCAAGTCTGGTCCTTTGCACATTCAAAAAAACAAAACAAAACCAAAAAATTGTAGAAACGTTTCTACAATTTTTTTTGTTTTGTTTTTTGAATGTCCAGAGAACCAGACTTAACTTTTTTAGATTTTTCTACCTGGATTATTGAGCATGCATCAGGATATTATTCTTTGCCATTTATTTATTCAGGAAAATGATCCTATATTTGTGAGTGGCCAAAGTATATGAACCAGTAGGATTAGCAGTTATTTTGAAAGTGAAATTAGAGTTAGGTGTTTTCAATCTACGGGGTGTTGATCAGGTGTGAGTGGGCACCCTGTTTGATTTAAAGAACTGGGATCTACAGTATCAGTCTGCTCTTCACAACATGTTTGTGGAAGTGGATCATGGCAAGAAAAAAGGAGATTTCTGAGGACCTCAGAAAAAAAGTTGTTGACGCTCATCAGGCTGGAAAAGGTTACAAAACCATCTCTAAAGAGTTTGGACTTCACCAATCTACAGTCAGACAGATTGTGTACAAATGGAAGAAATTCAAGACCATTGTTATCCTCCCCAGGAATGGTTGACCAACAAAGATCACTCCAAGAGCAATGAGTGTAATAGTCAGCGAGGTCACAAAGGACCCCAAGGTGCAACTGAAGCAACTGAAGGCCTCTCTCACATTGGCTAATGTTAATGTTCATGAGTCCACCATCAGGAGAACACTGAACAACAATGGTGTGCATGGCAGGATTGAAGGAGAAAGCCACTGCTCACCAAAAAGAACATTGCTGCTCATCTGCAGTTTGTTAAAGATCACGTGGGCAAGCCAGAAGGCTGTGGGAAGAATGTTTTGTAGACAAATAAGACCAAAATAAAACTTTTGGTTTAAATGAAAACCCTTAAGCTTAGAGAAAGGAAAACACTGCATTCCTGCATAAGAACATTATCCCTTCACATGGTGGTGGTAGTATTATAGTTTGGATCTGTTTTGCTGCATCTGGGCCAGGATGGCTTGCCATCATTGATGGAACAATGACTTCTAAATTACCATATTTTTCAGCCTACACGTCACGTTTTTTTGCATAATTTGCATGCCCTGTGACTTACGCTGAAGAGACGTTTTTATGGATTTTTTTCCCATATTTATAAACCAATTTTTGGCTGAGATATGACCGTTTTCATTCATTCTGACTGAAAATATTGAACACTACCATTTTCAGCCGCTAGATGACACTTGAGTTGTATTGGCTTGCCGTTGTGTCATGTAATGGGTAAAAAGTGGCTATTAATGACACAACCGGCTTGCCATAACCTTCCACATTTGTCCAGCTTGCTTGGAGCTACCGTCAAATCAGCTTCATTTCGCTGCGCCGCCCCGGCGAAATGCAGCTAATTTGACCATTGAAGTGCATTTATTAAGTAAAAGTTCAACTGAGACACACCTTTGCTATAAAGTCGAGCAAACAAATAATTGTTTTAGGCACTTGTCTTGTTAAATTTAGAAGAAATGCACCGCGAGTCGTCCTCTGCGTGTTCCTGTTTCCACGTATCGGCTTTTGAAAATGCAGCTGATTTGACCGTCAAAGTGCATTTATTAAGGAAAGCTTAGACTGAGGCACACCTTTGCTATAATTTTGAGCAAACAAATAATTGTTTTTAAGTGTTAATCTTGTTAAATTCTTGTTAAAGTTCTCCTATGCACGCTCCCGCAGCTGCCACTTGGGAGCCAATCAATTTTTGGTACAACACTGTCCCATGTTTTCGGGTTCGGTCCACTTTCCCGCGTTGTTAGCCGTGACACGTAACAAATGTGATGCATCAGCGGTGATGCATAATAGAAGTGATGTATACTGCAAAACAACGTATTTATGGATTTTTCCACTTTATTAGACATATTTGGACTGATGCGACTTATAGGGCGGTGCGACATGTACGGTGGAAAATACGGTATATCAGATAATTCTAAAGGAAAATGTCAGGACATCTGTCCATGAACTGAGTCTCAAGAGAAGGTGGGTCATGCAGCAAGGCAAAGACCCTAAGCACACAAGTGGTTCTACCAAAGAATGGTTAAAATAGAATAAAGGTCATGCTTTGGAACGGCCAAGTGAATGTCCTGACCTTAATCCAATCCAAATGTTTTGGAAGGACCTGAAGCAGTAGTTATTGTGAGGAAACCTACCAACATTCGAAGCTGAAGCTGTTCTGTGCAGAGGAATGGGCTAAAATTCCTCCAAGCCGCTGTGCAGGACTGATCAACAGTTACTGGAAATGTTTCATTTTAGTTATTGCTGCAGGGGGATGTGGGGTTTACACCAGATACTCAGAGCAAAAGTTCACATACTTTTCCCACTCACAAATATATAATAATGGATCATTTTCCTCAATAAATAAATGACCAAGTATAATATTTTAGTCTCATTTGTTTAACTGGGTTCTCGTTATCTACTTTTAGGACTTTTGTGACAATCTGATGATGTTTAGGTCATATTTATGCAGAAATATAGACAACTCTAAAGGGTTCACAAACATTCAAGCACCACTGTAACAGAAATTTTTGTATTGTTAATGTTGCGGCATTTTAAAAACTCCATCGCCCTTTTATGATTTAAAAAAGAACAAGAGACAGCCCTCAGATTCCCAAATCCGTTGACTTTTATGCCCATGTACAAATCATGGAAATATTTGAGTAATGTTAAAACTGATCACTTTTATTATCCATCATACCTATTATTGTGGTTTCTTTAAAATGCAATATTTGTTCAACCTGGATTAAGTAATAAAATCACAAAACGAAACAAATGTAATATGAAAATGTTGCATGTTTCAGTGTTTATTATATAGATAGAATAATTCTTTATTTGATCCCTGCTGAGGTAATTCACATAACACTTTCTTAAATATTATGTGGCAAGTGTCATGAGCCTGTAAATTAAATAATGAGCAAAAAGGTCCTGTTTTCACCTGAAGTTGTTTTTATAAAGAGAAACAGCAGATGTATTACAAAACTGAATGGAATCTTGAGGTAGACACACCACTGGTCCAATGATATAATAATTTATGTTTTTATCCATTTATTAGTTCCCTGAGGTAAATCCTAGTTCAGTCTTTTATTCAGCCTTTCTCTTCGTTTTTTTTCTGCCACAGCATCTCTGGAAACAGAAACTGCAGGTCTTGATGAAGATGAACATGAGAAGCAAAACTATAGTAAGGAGGAAGGTCAGGACGTCCAGGCTGTGGTACTGGTACCAGGTGAGTTCATGGGCCTGGACTCTCAGGTGCTTTGCTCCTTTGTTTCTCATGGTGTACTCGATCCAGAAAACTGCCTCCTCCCGAGGACTTATGGGTCTTTCGTGGTGGATTCTGGACAGTCGCACTGCGTTTTCTTTGTAGCTGTCAATGTAAAAATAACATTGTGTAGTTAAATGCTATGAACATAGTTTTAGTCAATACAATTTTACTTTTTTCAGTCCCTATACAAATATGGCAGGGTATTGTTTGCACTGCCTGTGTTACACCAGCTTCTGGGACCCCATTAAAATTTAACTCTAGGAGGCGCTGTTGTGTCTCTACACTTCAACTTGGTCTCAAAGAAGAGTAAGCTTTGCAAAAACACTTTTCTGTTTCCCCATGTCTGTGTAACGTGGGGCTAAAAAATGATGCATATCACATCACAAAATAAAGTCACAACAACCCAGTTCATGTTTTCTGGAGATGATGGTGATTATTATAAATATTAATAATAATAAGGTGTTTTATGTTTTCATTTTTGTTTTTATTTTACACTGACAAGGTGGTGAGAGTGTGAATTATTTTGTTTCATTTGTCTTATGTGGCCCATGATGGACTTGCAATGGATGGATGGATGGATTAGCTGGGCTGAAATACATGTGGTCACATAAAATGACACTTGCGATCAGGAAATATGGCCATACTGTAACTTTTAAAACTTTTTCTGGTTACTTATTTGTCCTCTCTTTTATAAAATGTAACATTTGACCAGATCTGGGCTGGACATCAAATCTCTGCGGCAATTTTCAGTGCCTGTTATGCATTTAATGCATTTAAATATGGAGGACCATGGGTAGGAAGATGCAGTGTAATGTATAAAAACAGAAAGAAGCACACATGAGTTGTATTAAAACACCTCATACAGCCAGTAATAATCTAATAAGTCAATACAGAGGATACATTTTAAAAATTTACGCACATATACAGTATAACAAAAATACATTGCTTAGTTCACCTCTGCCCATTTAAACTATAGCATTATTTAAACTTTCAACCATGTCTCTAAATACATTTTTTAGGAAGGCAAGAAAGTTTCATAAACTTTAATACAGACAGTGCAAGTACAGGTCCTTCTCAAAAAATTAGCATATTGTGATAAAGGTCATTATTTTCCATAATGTAATGATAAAAATGAAACTTTCACATATTTCAGATTCATTGCACACCAACTGAAATATTTCAGGTCTTTAATTGTTTTAATACTGATGATTATGGCATACAGCTCATGAAAACCCAAAATGCCTGTCCCAAAAAATTAGCATATTTCATCCCACCAATGAAAGACAAGTGTTTTTAATACAAAAACGCCAACCTTCAAATAATCATGTTCAGTTATGCACTCAATACTTGGTCGGAATCCTTTTGCATGAATGACTGCTTCAATGCGGCGTGGCATGGAGGCAATCAGCCTGTGGCACTGCTGAGGTGTTATGGAGGCCCAGGATGCTTCGATAGCGGCCTTAAGCTCATCCAGAGTGTTGGGTCTTGCGTCTCTCAACTTTCTCTTCACAATATCCCACAGGTTCTCTATGGGGTTCAGGTCAGGAGAGTTGGCAGGCCAATTGAGCACAGTAATACCATGGTCAGTAAACCATTTACCAGTGGTTTTGGCACTGTGAGCAGGTGCCAGGTCGTGCTGAAAAATGAAATCTTCATCTCCATAAAGCTTTTCAGCAGATGGAAGCATGAAGTGCCCCAAAATCTCCTGACAGCTAGCTGCATTGACCCTGTGCTTGATAAAACACAGTGGACCAACACCAGCAGATGACATGACACCCCAGTGACTGTGGAAACTTGACACTGGACCTCAAGCAATGTGAATTCTGTGTCTCCTCTCTTCCTCCAGACTCTGGGACCTTGATTTCCAAAGGAAATGCAAAATTTACTGTAATCAGAGAACATAACTTTGTACCACTCAGCAGCAGTCCCAGGTCAGGTGCTTCTGACGCAGTCTCTTGTTCAAGAGTGGCTTGACCTGGGGAATGCGGCACCTGTAGCCCATTTCCTGCACACGCCTGTGCACGGTGGCTCTGGATGTTTCTACTCCAGACTCAGTCCACTGCTTCCGCAGGTCCCCCAAGGTCTGGAATCGGCCCTTCTCCACAATCCTCCTCAAGGTCCGGTCACCTCTTCTCGTTGTGCAGCGTTTTCTGCCACACTTTTCCCTTCCCACAGACTTCCCACTGAGGTGCCTTGATACAGCACTCTGGGAACAGCCTATTCGTTCAGCAATTTCTTTCTGTGTCTTACCCTCTTGCTTGAGGGTGTCAATGATGGCCTTCTGGACAGCAGTCAGGTCGGCAGTCTTACCCATGATTGCGGTTTTGAGTAATGAACAAGGCTGGGAGTTTTTAAAAGCCTCAGGAGTCTTTTGCAGGTGTTTAGAGTTACGTCGTTGATTCAGATGGTTAGGTTAATAGCTTGTTTAGAGAACCTTTTCATGATATGCTAATTTTTTGGGACGGGCATTTTGGGTTTTCATGAGCTGTATGCCATAATCATCAGTATTAAAACAATTAAA